ATGTGACGTCATAGCCGCCATGTTGGTTGATTTTAACAAAAGACTTGTCCATGCATTAGTCTCTTTTGTCATATCTACCAACATGGCTGCCATGCCATTTTTAATTGTGCATGTGACGTCATAGCCGCCATGTTGGTTGATTTTAACAAAAGACTTGCCCATTAGTCTCTTGTTATGTCATAAACATGGCCACCATATCTTTAGTAATTTCACTCCCTTGGGAATGATTAAAAACCAACAAGTCGTTTCCCTTTCTCGTTTGTTCATTCATACTTTCACTTTTTTTTATTCATTCCATTTTGCACTCATTTCTGTCATCAACTYGTTTCTCGTAGATTCAACAGAAGTACGAGTTGCAGATGGCTGTTCAAAACAGACTGAGTATTCCAGAAGACGGGGAACTTCCTCAAGAAGGTATTTACTGAAAAAGCGCTGACATAAATAGACCCCTTTACCTTGGGCGTAATGCTTTCCTATTTCAGAGCTCGTACCATAACCAAATTTCAATTTTTGGCTCAATTTTTTGAATACTCTTTTCATTTAAAGACCCATTGCCACTTACCGTGATGCACCACGGTCACAGATGAATTTCGTGGTCCATGAAATTCAAAGATTCATATATTGAATAATAACTTCATATTAAATCCTTTTCCGACATAGCACTAAGGCACAATAATTATTCTTTTACATTCTTTTAGAGTTTATTCAAAAGGTTAGAATTGTTTTTTCGGTGGTGACACGATTTAAAATGTAAACAAATTGTGATGCATCACGGTAAGTGGCAATGGGTCTTTAAAGTCTGATAATACACCCAACAGAATTACTCGATTCTGATTGGACAATAGGAGTACAAATAAATCCCAAATTGTACTCTCTAAAGTCAATTTTGTTGAGTGTACATAAACGAAAAATCGAAAAATCCTCTCGTACAATTTGGAATTTATAGTTACTCGTAATGTTTTGAAAGTTTCTCAAATTGAACCAATTTTGAAAACTTCCAAAACATCACTCGTACCTATAAATTCCGAATTGTACTCGAGATCGTGCGATTTCCTATACAAATAAGAGGATCCACAATACAATAAGCTGTATATTGTTATTACAGCAAGTAAAAATATCATGAATCGCAGAAGAAATAAATGTTCAGTTACCCTGATCTATAACCAATATAAGTTTCAACCATTCCGTACTAATTTTCGCAGAGATGTCCTCCATTTGATGATTTGACTTTTTACTAGGTATCATTTTATGCTTTCTTTATTGAATATCTCAGCAAAGAGATATAAAAGACTAGTGAACGCTATTCTTATGTTATTTTATAAGGGCTTTCCCAACACGAAGGCATCAATAAGGGCTTAAATGTACTTTAAAGGAAGGAGGAGGAGTAGGGAATAGAACAGAATTTGAATAGAATATTTTGTAATATTTTCAGAAGTGTGTCTTCCTGCTGTCTTCATGCCGACAAGAACAGGGCTGGTATTTACACCCAAAGCTCATTCATATTTCCATCCTCCAGGTCAGTTATCAATACTTACGGAATCCAATATAACGTTTCCTGTAAAGTACTTGTCCTGTGATTGTTTTCCCAAATAGAAAAACCTGGATCTGTGAAAAGTCTTGACATTCATTGAACCAATCTTTGCTAGCCGAACGCGCGTGAAAACTGTTGCTATTTATCAGATTGCTTGGTAATAGCACTGCACAGCACTCTGTCGGTCAAGGCACAGCACACATCATCTATTGGACCGATCTTAGCGCGTGCACAAATCAAATGAGATGCTTGGTTATACTCGGCAGGGCAATCGCTGCACATTTGATCATCACATCACGTCCTGGCACAGCTTCTGGTCTGGGAACCCCTCTCTTGTTAAGTGATTTGAGCTTCAAGGTGAAGTGAGCTGGAACTAATTTGCCACGATTACTTTTCAGGGTCATCTGAGGGTCGACTTACTCAGCCTCCTTCGGTTTTCAAGCTACCTCACGTGGGTGCTTCTAACGTATCCTTTGTCAGGCAGTGCGCATTTGAAATGTAAAACAGCCGTATTTTTATCGTAGTTGGTTGAACAGTGGTCTTTCGTGTGAGTGGTCTCTTACTGGTGTTGGTGGGTTAGATCTGTGGGCGTACCACTCGACATCGTAAAATAACTTAGTGGAAGATGCTGCTGTTTATAAACATTTTGAATCATTCGCTTGGCTCATTGGTTAGTTGGGTTTGCAGGGGGAATCTGGGATGTTGTGGACTGAATGCCAAACACGACTGATAATCAACTTGGGTGAAGGTGCTGCCGTTGCTTAAAATATCTGCGCCTTTTTAAGCCTTCCGAAAGCATCTGATGGAATCTGTTGAGGCATGAAAACGCCAAGTCCATCACATCAGATTGATTTAGTTAATTTTCCTTAACTCCTTCCACAGCAAGTCTCTGTTCTTAATCTTTTCGACATGGGTCAAAGATACACGGGACCTCCTTCAGCAATGCCGGAGAATGCTTACRCATTGGGAATGCCCCACCCATCGCAGACAGCTCCTCCTCCACCAACAGCGTGTGATATCAACTCGCCGCAGTGTTACCCTGGACGGGCATGCACTCGGTAGCACAGTCCCTCCCCCTAAACCCTCTCCCCAGAGCATGATCTCCATATCAACACATGCAAATATCAGAGCACGACAACCCGATGAAACAGCGCAATCCATCCATAGTGCAAYCCATCCATTTTCACGATTGAGGACGATGTAAATAAAGGAATACATGCCAATTTTTTTTCTTTCTTTTTTTGACTCTTTGTTATAATGACCCAATTTATACTTTTTAAATTAACATATAGAGGCTGTCTATCTCGGTCAACCATTTCGGTTATTATAGACAGCCTGTACCCAAAATCTATTTTATATATATATATACACGTGTATCATATATATATACACTCGATTGCAGAAACGTTGTAGTATACATTTGTACATTCATACAAATACCTAATGAGATGCATATTGCAA